TTGGCGATGCGGCGTGATCCTCTGACCCCATCTGCTCCGACCCTGTCTAGGAGGCCTCTAGTGTCGCCGGGGCCGCCGCTGCGACACGCTAAGCGAACATTCTCGTGGGCATGTATCCCCGGGATAGAATGTGGTGCGCGCCAATATCGCTCCCGAGGCTCACACCGTCGCTCCAGCTGCCGCGAGGTGCAGCGCAGGCGCGGCACGCCGCGCAGGTGTCACACAACGGGTGCCCTGCGGGTGGACGTGGCGTCAGGCACGGGCAGCCAGCAGAGCAGGGAGAGAAGGCCAGCACAGTGGAGCTCCTTGAACACAGCAAGTAGAAGAATTGCATGCCCGCGCGCGCTGCCGACGTGCTCGGGAAAGACAGGCTGTGCCGCGACGACTCCCGGCCGCCGTCCGCGCTGCAGTGGCACGGCAAGCAAAGCAGAGGAGGAGGGGGGGGAGGTGGCGAGGAGAACGACGGGGGAAGAGGAGGCAGGGAGGGGGCGGAGGCAGGGAGGCGGGGCGCAGAGACGGCACGCCAGGGTGCCCCCTCTCGGGCCCTCGGGCGCCCCCTGCATGCCGCGAGGAGCCGGGTGCCACCCCTTGCGCGCCGGGCATGCGGGGGAAGTCGATGAGCCACCTCTACGACATGGACGACGGCGACCCCGGGGCCAGAAGCAGCTCGCCGTCCGCCGCTCGCCCCGTCCCACCGTCGCTTGCCACCAGGACGGCGGAGGCCAAAAGGGAGGTCGACGGGCAGCGCTGCTATCGCTCCCTCCAGCGCGACTGTTTTCCCCGGGTCCTACGAATGGGGTGTGTCTTGTTGTTGGTGGGACGCCTCCGCTTCACCGTCCCTGCTCCCGCCTCCATCTCCCACTCGCATACCCCATGCCCAATTACTCGTGCTCCGACTCACTCACATTGAGATTTCACCCGCTCAGATTCATTCAAGAAAGAATCACTCATCCTCAGACTGGCTCCCACTCATACCCATTCATACTCAGACTCCTGCGCACTCAGAATCCTGTAGACTCAGACCATTTTCAGACCATTCACACTCTGGTTTACTCGTCTCCAGACCCACTCACACCTCACACTCAGACTCCTTCGTATTCAGGCTCACTTACACCCCGATCCACCCATACTCATATTCATGCAAGATCAGACTGGCTCACACTCGGACTCACTCATGTGCAGACCCACCCATCGTCGTCCTCACCCAGCCCTCGGGCACTTTCATATTTGGACCCACTCACACTCAGCATCACTCCTACTCAGACTGGCCGCGATATAGCAGGCGTGTCACAGAGGGCCTTCTAAGGCAGTGTTGACAAGGGGTGTTCCGCGGGCCCTTTCGCGCCCAGATTGTCGGGGCCTCTGAGGAGGGAGACATGTCTCCTTTCAGGTCCCCACGGTCGTCACGATGCAGCAGGCACGGCAGTTGGGCCTCACAGGGGCGTCCTCAGCCGATCGTGTTCCACGGGCCCGTTCGCGCCCCGAGTGTCGGCGCCTCTGAGGTACCGTGGCCGCGCGGGAGGGCAGACGTGCCCCTTCTCAGAGCCCAAATGGTCTTTGCGAGGCAGCAGGCGTGGCGGCCATGCCTCCCGACGAGGGGCCACCAGGGGTGCTCCACGGGCCCACTCGCGCCCGGAGTCTCGGGCGCTCTCGGGTCGAGCGGCCGTCTTATCGGGCGGGGGCCGGTGTTGTTCCCTCCGGACCACCAGCCAGCTCTCGAGCCCCAGCAGCAGAAAGTTGCCGGAAAGACGACGTCGACGATCCTGGACCCTCGATGTCATCAATCATTCTCTGTCTTCCGTCCTCCTCTTCCTCCTCCTCCTCCTCCTCCTCCTCCTCCTCCTCCTCCTCCTCCTCCTCCTCCTCCTCCTCCTCCTCTCGCACTCCTCCACAATTACTCAACATGAATACTCTCCCTCTTCCCCTGATGAGGGCTTGAAAGTGTCAGCCCCCCCCCCTGCGCATTGTTTTTTACACAGGATTCCCCGGAGTTGGGTTTTCGCTTGCATTTGTTCTTAAAATGCTGCTCTCGCTGAGGCGCCGGCCACATTTTCGGGCCCCGCTCGTTCCGAATCGTGCTCCCGCTGCAACGCTGACCTCATTTCCGTGCTTCCGCTCGTTCCGAATCGTGCTTCCGCTGCAGCGCTGGCCTCATTTCCGCGCTTCTGCTCGTTCCGACTCGTGCTCCCGCTGCAGAGCTGGGGTCATTTCCGTGCCATGCCACGGCAGATGGGAGGGAGGGGTTAGGATGTCAGATATGACGCGAGCGCACCTAGCTTGTCTTCCTCCCCCTCCTCCTCCTCCTCCTCGTCCTCCTCCTCCTCCTCCTCGTCCTCCTCCTCCTCCTCCTCCTCCTCCTTCTCGCCCTTTCACTAATCAGCGCGCGCCCGTGCTTCCGCCCCAGGAGGAGGAGGAGGAGGAGGAGGAGGAGGAGGAGGAGGAGGAGGAAGAAGAGTGTGACGAGTAGGAGGAGGATCAGGAGGAAGAGGAGGGCGACGACGACGACAACGACGGCAAAGACGACAAAGACGACGACAAACATGACGACAAGGATGACGAAGACGACGACGACGACGACGGCGACGACGACGACGACGGCAGCGGCGGCGGCGACGACGACGACGACGACGACCAAGACGACAACCAAGACGACGAAGATGACGATGGCCCCGCGCCCGCCGCAGACGACGACTCCAACGAGGAGACGCCGACCCGCAAGCGGCATTCGGAGGCGAGCGCCCAGAGCGGGTGCTCGGGCCACAACGGGCGCCTGTCCGTAGGAGGGCCCCCCGCAGGGGGCGGGGACGCGGGGATGCGGCAAGGCTTCGGGCTGCTCGTAGGCAGCCCACCGAGGTAGTCCCGGCCGGCCTCCACAGGTCCCCCGAGTGCCAAGCGGCCAGTGGGGCGGTCTCCGCACCCAGTCGCCGCGGCTACTTTGGGGGGGCCCGCTGGGGCCAGCCAGGAGTCCCTCGGGGGAGGTCGCCTGTGCTCACCCCGAAGCCTTGCCTCAGGAGGAGGGCGGGCGGAGAGCACATTCACGGCCTCATGGTCTCCTCCTCCTCGCTCGTCGTCCTTCCTCCTCCTCCTCCTCCTCCTCCTCCTCCTCCTCCTCCTCCTCCTCCTCGCTCGTCGTCGTCGTCGTCCTCCTCCTCCTCCTTCTCCTCCTCCTCCTCCTCCTCCTCCTCCTCCTCCTCCTCGCTCCCTCCTCCTCCTCGCTCCTCGCTCCTCCTCCTCCTCCTCCTCCTCCTCCTCCTCCTCCTCCTCCTGCTCCTGCTCCTATCCTTATTCCTTATTAGAATATACTCCTACTCCCCCCTCAGGCCGGCCATTAGGGGCCGCATCCGGGTGGTCCCATCCTAACCTGTAAAAAACAATACAAAATCAACATTTTTCTTATTTTTTCCTCTCGACATGGACGTCCTGTCGTCCACGGCGATAATCCATTGCAAAAAATACCACAAAGAGCACACGCGCGCGTTCATGTCAGAATCCTACCGAACACCGTGTGTTTGCAAGCATTTCAACATAAAAACATCAAAAACCCAATGCTTTTTCACAAAAATTGTACAAATTTCCCGCCCGGGCTCTCTTGCTGAAATCATAGGAAAACCATAGGAATCTTAAGAATTCGGTCAAATCCAGCGATTTCACGTCATCGCGCGGTGCACTCGCGATGCTCTGTCATGCACCCAGGCCGCGAATCCTGTGCAAAAAATACCACAAAGAGCACACTCGCGCGTTCATGTCAGAATCCTACCGAACACCGTGTGTTTGCAAGCATTTCAACATAAAAACATCAAAAACCCAATGCTTTTTCACAAAAATGCTTTGGGGTGTCCTGTCAGACCGTCGGGCTTCCTCCGGCCACCTCTGGCTTCCTGCGGTGTACCGGGCCATTCTCGACTCGTCTGGCAATGCGTGCGCGGCATTCAACACGCGCTCGCCAGTTCCCGTCGGCAACCGCCATCGCGGCCGCATCAGCTGTACCAAACCGGCTGGCCGGTGTGACTTCGGCCCCCAGTTGTGCCAGCTTTGCTTCTTTTGTTGTGGGAGGGCGGGTGGGACTGGGCATGCCATGCTTGACTCGCTCGAGCTGGCTAGCTTGACTCCTACTCCTACTCCTCCTCCCCTCGCTCCTACTCCTCCTCCCCCGCCTCCTCCCCGCCATCACGTTCCAGGCCACTCGGCCGCGGCCCCGTGGACATGAGGGCCGGCTGTGCGCAGATGGCCCGCGCGGTGCGTGCCCCTGGGATCGCATGGCGATGGGGCCGCGCCTCGGTGTCCACATTGCGAGAGCAGTTGGCAGCGATGACTGAATCGCTCGTGGTGTGTGTGCGTGTGCGGGGGGGGGAGCAGGGGAGGAGCCAGAGGAGGAGGGAAAGGAAGAGGCGCCTCCTCCTCCTCCTCCTCCTCCCCCTCCTCCTCCTCTTCCTCCTCCTCGTTCCTCGCTCCTCGCTCCTCGCTCCTCGCTCCTCGCTCCTCGCTCCTCCTCCTCCTCCTCCTCCTCCTCCTCCTCCTCCTCCTCCTCCTCCTCCTCCTCCTCCTCCTCCTCCTCCTCCTCCTCCTCCTCCTCCTCCTCCCAGGCCTGGGGGCGTTGAAGGTTTCAGGCGTGACAGCTCTCCCGGGGCCCCGGCCCTGCTCCAGGACTCCTGGTTTCCCCGCTGCTCACGGGCGCTTGTCTTCCCGCCCCCTGACGGGCCCCCACTGGTGTTCCCTTTTCCCGAGGCGCGGTCGGCCACGGGACGCGCCTCTCATGGGCTCCCCCTGTTCTCCTCCTGCTCCACCTCCCACTCTTCCTCCTGCTCCTCCTGCGTCTCCTCCTCCTCTGCCTCCTTCTCCTCCTCTGACCCCTCCTCCCCCTCCTCCTCCTCCTCCTCCTCCTCCTCCTTCTCCTCCTCAGCATGCTTATCATCAGCGGCAGCAGCCGTCCCGCTCAATCTGGAGTTATTGCCGAATCTGTCGACTTGTCAATTGTTGCCCTACCTGATCGGGGTCATTTGCCGTGGATGACAAAACCATCCTTCCATCCCCCCATCCTGCCCCTTCACCGTCCCTCTTCATTTGTTCCTCATGCTCACGGTCGTCGTCGTCGTCCTCATCCGTCTCCGTCTCATAATCATTCCTCTATTGGTCCTTTTTGTCCTGCTGCTCGTCCTTCTTCCAATCCTCACAGTTGCCCTGGCTGGAAATCGTCCGCTCCACGCATCTCGCCGCAGTGTACCCGGGAAGGGACCAGGGTTTGATTTTGAAGTTGTGGTGGCCAGACTTACAAGATGCGTCATATCAAGGGGGTGTGCGCCGGCATGCAGGAGCTCCACATTCCTCACAGTAAAGACGCTGACTTAAGGAGCATGTCGGGTTTGCAAAGTGGCTCGTTGTTCCGCAGGTTATTCCGTATTTGTTGTTGTGTTTAGTATTTCTAGTGATGTTGTTGGTTTCATATGATGTTGTCATATTATTCGTTGGTCTCTCATTCTTAATAGTATTAATATTGCCGTTAGTGTTGGATTAGTATGGTCATTAATAGTAGCAACATTCCTGTTAGTGGTATAACTAGTAATGCGTAGTGCTAATATTGTCATTTTTGGTCGTAGTGTCTTAGTATGCGTAGTAACAGTGTTCTTCGTATTAGTTGTATTATTTTGGATTCGTATTAATCAGAATGCTCTTTTTATTACTCGTGTGATTACGATTACTATCATAATGATCGCGTTCCTCGTTTATCAAGGCGCCATTCGCTGCTTGAAAGGGGTGTCCTTCTTTGTTGGCCGTTCCACTTGTTCGCAGCGTGACTGTATTGCTTCGTCGCAGCTTGCGCGACAGCTTCTTTAGCAGTTCGTCCTCACGGTTTGCGACTGCCTCCTCATCCGCCCTCCATGCGCCTTCCTCCTCCTCCTCCTCCTCCTCCTCCTTCGCGGGCATACGTTGCACCAGCTTGAATCGAAATGTCTTACCTTGGCGAGGCTACAGCCTCCGGGGCCGTGCCCTGATGTGCACGGGCGAGCTCCCCAGTGGAGCAAGCACAACTCAGGCGTTCGCTCCGCCTCGCCTCCTCCGGGCGCCCTCTTCGCCCTTGTCCTCTCGGGGCGCATCGGCGTCGCACCATTGTTGTTGCTGCCTGGCGCGCCCCTGCCCTCCTCGTCTGCAGCCAGTCGGAGGAAGACGAGGAAGAGGAAGCGGAGGCGGGCCTGGAGAGGAGGCCGAGCAGGATGAGGAGGAGCGAAGAGGAGGATGAGGAGGGAAGGAGGGGCGAGGATGAGAGAGGAGCGAGGGAGGAAGAGCCGGAGGAGTCGGCGGAGGCCACGACCGGAGGACCTTGCGCCCTCTGCTCCCGCGGGGGGCGCCCTCGGCGGAGGGCGGCGCGGCCGAGCGAGCCGAGGGCAGGCCGGCGCCTCGGTTCGAGCGAGCGGCCTCCAGGCGGCACTCCCCAGCGGAGCTCTCGGCACGGTCGGCGGCAGCTGCCCGAGACTCCTCCTCCTCCTCCTCCTCCTCCTCCTCCTCCTCCTCCTCCTCCTCCTCCTCCGGCCTCCTCCTTCTCCTCCTCCTCTTCTCCACGGTGTCAGGTGGTGCTAGAGGCCTCCTGGATGGGGTCCGAGCAGATGGGGTCGGAGGATGATCGCGCCGCATCGCCGATGCATCGCCGATGCGGCTCGATGTGGAGCCCGATTTGCTTCATGTCGACGTCGCCGATGCATCGCCGACGTCGACGCTGTATCGCCGATGCATCGCCGATGCATCGCCGATGCATCGCCGATGCATCGCCGATGTACCGGCGATGCGGCGCGATCCTCCGACCCTATCTACTCCGACCCCAGCTGGGAGGCCTCTAAGGGAGGAAGCGCCACCCCGACCCCGATACCCGGCGTTCACGGGACGGCCCGTGGCGTTCGCTGAGCAGCCCTGCCTTCTTCGAGCCCCCTCCCTCCGGCTCTGCGTGTCGCGCCGCCGCTCTTGGCCCGCCGCGCCTCGGGGCGACACGCCGGCCACTCCCCACCCGGCCCGGGCGTCCACGCCCCGAGCCCTCCTCCTCCTCCTCCTCCTCCTCCTCCTCCTCCCTCCTCCCTCCTCCCTCCTCCCTCCTCCCTCCTCCTCCCCTCCTCCTCCTCCTCCCTCCTCCCTCCTCCCTCCTCCCTCCTCCCTCCTCCCTCCTCCCTCCCTCCTCCCTCCTCCCTCCTCCCTCCTCCTCCTCCTCCCCTCCTCCTCCTCCTCCTCCTCCTCCTCCTCCTCCTCCTCCTCCTCCTCCTCTCCTCCTCCTCCCTCCTCCCTCCTCCTCCCTCCTCCCTCCTCCCTCCTCCCTCCTCCCTCCTCCCTCCTCCTCCTCCTCCTCCCCCTCCCTCCTCCCTCCTCCCTCCTCCCTCCTCCCTCCTCCCTCCTCCCCCTCCTCCTCCTCCTCCTCCTCCTCCTCCTCCTCCTCCTCCTCCTCCTCCTCCTCCTCCTCCGGCCTCCCGCCCCGTGGAGCGGAGCGGCGCGCTGTCCTCCCGTGAGGCGCAGCGTGTCCCCGGGGCCGGCGCCTCGACACGCGGAGCAGAAGCTTCCCGCCGTGCCACCATGGGGCGAGCGAAGCAGATCTGAAGTCCATGGGCTGGACATCGGAGGGTACCAACTGTACACCAGCACCGATCTCGGCCGGGCCAATCCTGGGCCCAGGATCGGTGTGTGTGTGCCTTCTTGCCCCAGGCAGGAGGGCGTATGCACCGATCCTGGGCCCAGGGTGATCCTGGCCGGGATCGGTGTTGGTGTATAGTTGGTGCCCTCCTACGGATACGCAGGCGATCGCAGACATGGATCAAGGGGCGTGGATTAGCGACGGGTCACGTTTCCATGGGAAATCGCAGATTATTGCCGCCGAGCGGGGCGGCACCGGTCGCATTTTGGGGGGGGGGCACCTCCCCCGATTCATGGATTTGGCGACCGCGCGCCAAATCCATGGATCGCTAATCCATGTTTCTGCGCCCCCGAGATACGGAATCATCCTCCCCCTCTCTCTGCAGCCGTTTGCGAACCCTACCCCTGCGGGTCCAAACGACGCCGGGGTATCAGAGACCGCCGTTGGCTCCCTCGGCTGCAGAAGTCCTCCTGGAATCCTGAACCCCAGCCAGTTTTTCAGAAATAAGACCTGCAGGTTTTAGCGTTCACATGGGGGCCTCTTGGGACGTCTCCGAGCGTCGGAGCCTAGAACAATGGAGAAAACCCCAAAACATTGAAAAGCCGATTGGAAATACATGCTGTAGTCCTTTGCGGGGCCCTCTTGAAAAGGCTTTTGGATATCTCTTGGGGTGTCTGCCTGCGTACCCTGACGTCGGGCGTGTCCATCTACATGATGAAAATCAAAAAATGTCCAAACATAGTTTTGGGACGGTTTGTTGAGTATGTTTGGTCATTTTTGAATGTTTTGTTTGGGTGTTGTTGATTTTTCGCCCGAAATCCGCCTGTGGGGAGACCCGCCCGACGTAAGCGTACCCCCTCGCGCGCACGACGTCGACGACAGCGGCCAGACGGGCTGGGCAGGCAGGCCAGAAGCCTGCCATGGGGGGCCGGGTCGTGCCCTCTGGGGGAGGCCGTCAGGCGGCTCGTGGAAGAAGGGACGGCGCCGTTCCCCCCACTAAGGGACGGAGCCTACACAGTCTCCTCCTCCTCCTCCTCCTCCTCCTCCTCCTCCTCCTCCTCCTCCTCCTCCTCCTCCTCCTCATCATCATCATCATCATCATCATCATCATCATCATCATTATCCTCCTCATCCTCCTTCCCCCCCCCTCCTCCTCCTCCTCCTCCTCCTCCTCCTCCTCCTCCTCCTCCTCCTCCTCCTCCTCCTCCTCCTCCTCCTCCTCCTCCTCCTCCTCCCTCCTCCTCCTCCCTCCTCCTCCTCCTCCTCCTCCTCCTCCTCCTCCTCCTCCTCCTCCTCCGCCTCCTCCTCTCCTCCTCCTCCTCCTCCTCCTCCTCCTCCTCCTCCTCCTCCTCCCTCCTCCTCCTCCTCCTCCTCTTCCTACTCCTCTTGCTCCTCCTCCTCCTCCTCCTCCTCCTCCTCTCCTCCTCCTCCTCCTCCTCCTCCTCCTCCCCTTCCTCCTCCCCCTCCTCCTCCTCCTCCTCCCTCATCATCACATCATCATCATCATCGTCATCGTCATCATACTCCTCATGCTCCTCGTACTCCTCCTCCACCTCCTCCTCCTCCTCCTCCTCCTCTCCTCCTCCTCCTCATCCTCCTCCTCTTCCTCCTCCTCCTCCTCCTTCTCCTCGTCCTCCTCCTCCTCCTCTTCCTCCTCCTCCTCCTCCTCCTCCTCCTTCTCCTCCTCCTCCTCCTCCTCCCGTGCTCGTGGGAAGGAGAAGCGACACCACCACCACCACCACCACCACCACCACCACCACCACCACCACCAGGGGCACCTCCAGCGAGGAGGTCCATGCTGCCTCCCCGAGCAGGGGAGTACTTGAGGAGAAGGAGGAGGAGGAGGAGGTGGTGGTGGGGGGGGGGGGGGCGCCGACCAAGAGCGTCGTCAGCTGGCACTAACGACGACAGGCTAGACTGTAAGGGGAAACCTCAGGAAAGCGTCGGGCAGGGCGGCTAGAAGGGAATGAGCACGCCTGCCACGCAGTCCGAGGGATCAATCATCCAGGGAACACCCTGGAGATGGGTGCAGGCCCGCACGGGCCCTTTGCAGCTTCCTTTTCTGCATATCCCGAGTGGACGGAACGCGGGAAGCCCCAGAGCAGGGGCTCAGGAGGGACCTCGGGACCCCACGGGGCAGAATAAGGAAGCCAGCATACACAGTACACATGCAAACCCGCCCGATCTGCGCCATGACATGGCCTAGATCGTTGAATTCCTGAAGCGCAGCCGCCCCCGATCCCTGAGGAGGAGTAGGCGAGGCGGCAGGAGGGTCGGCAACAGCCACAGCAGGAGGCTCAGAGGAGGCGGACGGGAGGGGGCAAGCGGCATCAGCAGTAGCTAGGGCAGTCCCGACCGCCTGGGCCTGAAGGGCCTGGGCGTGCGGCCCCAAGGAGTGGGCTAGCGTGCTAGGAGAACGAGCGCCGACGAAACAATGCCTGCATCGAACTTCGCCTGACCTCACGTCCATCACGAATGTATGCTCATGGATTGTGAGCTGGATCACATGCGCATGCGTAGGTTTGGGGCACGGTGGAGGAGGAGGGATGTCTGTTCACCTCCTGGGCTTCGCCAGCCTAAACGCAGCCCACGAGACATACTGGATAGTGGTTTTATGAAACTGCAACTGCCTGGACGGCCTTGCAGAAATCCTGGGAAACCATAACACGCCTGGAAGCCTCTTTGGCAAAACAATCGGCCCGAGCATTTCCTACGCACGCCACGAGGTCACATCCCCGCTCATAGGCCTGCTCGATGGAGAGGTGGGCGGGGTCCACACGAAGGAGGGGGGCTCGGCGTCAGTGCGCCGTTCGCTATGAGCGAAGATGGACCTCCAGACACCAGCGTACTTCTGCATACCACAGGCTAATTCTGGGTCCCAGCTCTGGCCCTCTCTGACGAGGGAGAGGAGGTCCGAAACAAAAACCTTTAGATCGGGGTTGACGCGGACCGCCTGAAGGGCCGCCGTACGCTCGGCCAGGCCAATTGTTCGGATAGGGCCCACAACATTCCCGAACAGAGCTCGCACAGGGAGGAGGTCCGCGCCAAGCTGCACTGTCGCCCAGCCCGCTCTACGCACCTCTGGCACCGCGGATCCCTGAGCACTGCCGTCTCCGAAGACGACAGGCCCCCACGACCCTCCCACGTCCCCCCACTCCCAAACCTCAGGGATCTCTGGTGGCCGCGGGGTGCTCACAGAAAGCACGGGGAGGGCATAAGACAAATACATAGTGTTAAATTCGGGGCACCCTTGGGGACGTGTTGAAGCGCGCAACGCCTCCCGATGAGAAAGAAACCTCTCAGGCACAACCTCCAATCCCAATTCTTGTTCTCTCTCATCGGGATCGAGGAGGCTGGGGCAGTCGCACCAGACGTGGCCATACGAGCCGTCTGGCGAGCCGCACGCAGCGCAGGCTGGCTCGAGAGAGAGAGAGAGCAAGGCGGAGCCACACCGGCAGCAGGACCCCCAGGCGGCTCCTCCAGTGTGGGAGCCCGGGTGGTGGTGTCGCTCGCCTTCGTGCCCGCGTCACATGTCACCCCCCGCCCTTTCGAGGAAGGACCAAAGAGGCACAAGCATAAACTTTTGGCGCTCCGCGCGGGTCTCTCTTGGATCTGCGCCGGGCCCCCCCCCCTCGTCTGCCGCGCCGAGGAGAAGCCCGCGCGGAGCGCCATGCTCATGGCGTTTCTTTGTTTCTTGTTCTTCCGCTCCTCCCCCCCCTCCCGCCATGCTCATGGCGTTTCTTCTTCTTTTTCTTCTGCTCCTCCCCCCCTCCCCCCCATCTCTCGCCCACGACGTCGACGTCTCGCTCACGACGTCGACGACGGCGCCCAGACGGGCCGGGCAGGCTCCATCCTCTCCAGCGCCCGGCGCGCGTCGCTGAGCAGCTTCGCCAGCGGCTGGGGCAGCTGGGCCGAGGGGGGGTCGGCCCCGCAGGCGGGGCGGCGGGGGGCGCGCTGGGCGGGCGCGCTGGGGCTCTTTTCAGGGGGCTGGCACAGGGGGGGATGCATCGACCCCCAATCGCCCACTGATCGCCGATCGGGGCCCGATAGCCCCAGCCTGCCCATGAAGGTGCGGATTCACTATCGGGGGCCTATCGCCGATCGATCGGCGATGTATCGCGGATTCTAGGTCGATGCATCCCCCCCTATGCCAGTCCCCCCTTGTCGTTGCCCCCCATCTTTTGGGTGCAGCTCCTGAGGTTAAGTCGGGCCTGTCCCTCTACGGGAGGAATGCTCAAGAATAGTCAAAAATAGTCAGGGGACTTCTTTGTTGACTATGTTCGAGCATTCTGGTGTTTTCTGTTTAGTATTTTTAAAATTTCATTCGCCCCAGATACGCCTGTAGGGGGACAGGCCCGACCTAATCCTCAGGAGGCCGTCTCGGAGACAGAGGCTCTGGAGCACGGGGGTGTGGTCGGACGCGGCTAGGATGAAGTCGGGCCTGTCCCCTTCTGCAGGAGGAGGAGTCAAGAGTGGCAACAAAAAAACCTGGGGGAGGATGTTACGACTGTTCTTGATCATGTCTGAGAGTATGAGTTGCATAGGTTTGATGCTTCTTCCAACATCCGCCTGTAGGAGGACATGCCCGACCTCAGGCTAGGACAAGGATGTATTCGTTCCAGGGCCTTCTGGAGCGCTCTCGGAGCGTTCCGGGAGGCCCTGAGGAGGCCTCGGCGCCCGAGACAGTTCCTCCAGAGCCGCCGGATCTCAGAGATGCTCGACTCGTCCTCACCCGATGTCATCTTCGTCCTATAGCTATCTATCCTCACCTGATTTCATCTTTGTCCTGAAGCTATACGTGCTCGACTTGTTGTCGCCCGATCTCAGAGATTCTCGATTTATCTATCCTCACCCGATGTCGTCTTCTTCCAACACACGCCAGTCGTTGAAAGTAGGTATTTTGGGATCCCCAGATCCCACTCTACTTCAAGCGCCTTCCTACCCTCTGGTTCGCTACCCCGCCTGCGCGCGCTGGGTCCGTGGAGCCGCGTGCCCCGCCCTCCCCCTGGCCTTCTGCTGCCCGCCCCCGCTGGGTCGACTGCGGCAGTTTCAGGTGGCGAGGTGCCGCTCGCACCTCGCTTCCGGTACCCTCGCCTGTTGAAGTGCAGGCAGTTGGAGGAGCGCGGGCCAGACAGACCCTGCCGGCTAGTTGTGGGCTTCTCGCCAGGACCGTTTCCTCTTCCGGGGACGTCCACGGGCCATCCCGCACGTGCGAGCTGTGACACGGGCAGCGTCGAAGCCGCTTTTGCTCCGCGGGTCACCCCCCGGGGCCTCACGAGGCCGAGCGCCGCGCCGCGGAGCGCTCTCCGCGATGGCCCTGCGCGCGGGGGAGCCGGCGTCCACGAGGCCAGGGCCCCGCGAGGAGCCACCGCTGGTCAACGGCGTGCGGCCGTTCCTTGTGGAGAGGTTCTTTGCCAAGCTCGGCGGCGCGCGGGAGGGGGCTAGGCGAGGGGGTGGCCTCTCGATGCGCCTCGATGCTCCTCGACCCTCCTCGACCCTCCATGAGCCTCCTCGATCCGCCTCGATCCTCCTCGATCCTCCTCCTGCTCGATCCTCCTCCGCCTCCTCCTCCTCCTCCTCCTCCTCCTCCTCCTCCTCCTCGGGAAGGCAGCGGGGCCTCTCGGGAAGGGGTCGGGACCTCGTCAGAGGCTTCCCCGAGGCAGGTTTTCGCGTCGTGTGGAAACTCGCCGGCGGCCCTAGCGCGGGCGTTCCAGGCTGAACGCAGCTGGTGACCCAGGCTCGGCCACTGTGGAACGACCTGGCGATCGAACCGAAAACCTGCCGATCGTTCAAGGTTGGACGATCCACGCGGTGTCAGAGACCACCGCCAGGGTCGTCACGACACGTATACTTGCCGTATCAGAAGGCAGCGGGGCCTCGGGGAGGCGGGCTGCCCTCTCAGCGGGCCGTCCCCCCCTCGCCGCGCCCTTCCTCCGCGCCGCCAGCACAGCACGAATTCACCGCAGACTACATGCTCGGCTCGAGCGACGCGGACGCGTGGAGCGTCGCGGAGCTGCTCCAGCTGGCGCGCTCGCGCGGCGACACAGACGCGGAGCGCGAGTGGGCTGAGGTGGGCCTCGGCTACACCGAGTCGGCAGGGCATCCTACGCTGCGCGCGGCGGCAGCGGCCCTGTACGGGGGGCCCATCGGCGCGGAGCAGGTGTTGTGCGCCGTGCCGGTGGAGGGCATCTTCCTGGCGATGTCCTCGCTCCTCGCCCACGGCGACGTGGTGGTCGCGATGATGCCAGCGTACCAGTGCCTGTACGAAGTCGCGCGCTCCAAGGGCTGCACCGTCGTGCCCTGGCGCGCCTCGTACGAGCCCGGCGTGGGATGGTCCTTCAGCCTCGCCGACCTGCGGAGCGCCCTGGTCGACGACGAAGGGGCGCCGCGCGAGGTGCGGATGGTCGTCACGAATTTCCCGCACAACCCGACCTCCTGGATGCCCTCCAATGCGGAGCACGTAGAGCTGGTCGAGATCTGCCGCGAGAGAGGAGCAGTCCTGTTCTCGGACGAGATGTACTGGGGCATGGCGCTCGAGTCCGGCGAACGCCCTGTCTCGTCCTGCGTGCGGTACGAGCGGGCGGTGACCCTGAGCGGGCTCTCCAAGCCGCACGGCCTTCCAGGGCTGCGGGTCGGCTGGCTGGCCACGCAGGACGTGCAGGCCATGTCGAGGCTGCAGCAGTGCAAGGACTACGTCACCATCTGCGGCAGCGCCCCCAGCGAGGCGCTCGCGATCATCGCGCTGAGGCACGGCGAGGCCCTCCTGGCGCGCGCCTGGGAGACCACGCGGGCGAACCGGCCGCACCTCAGGGCCTTCTGCGAGGAGTTCTCGGGCCTCTTCGAGTGGACCCCGGAGCCATCCCGAGGGCTCGTGGCCCTCGTGGTGCTGCGAGGCCCGGGGGCCACGGCACCAACGACGCAGCAGTGGGCATGGCAGCAAGCAGGGGTCGCTCCGCGGCGCGGCGGCGTGGCGGCGGCCCTGCCGCGGGAGCTCCAGGCGGAGCGCCGCCCGTGGCCCCGGATATCGGCCACTGTGGAACGACCTGGCGATCGAAGAGAGCTGCCGACCGTTCAAGGTCTTGGTATCGCTCGGACGTGTGCATTTTTCCTTCGGCAAGGACAATCTGGGAGCATCCTTGATCATTCGGCGAAAAAGCCACGCACGAAACCGGAAAAAGCACAGGGAATGGACGTCCGAGCGACGGCCAGAGGTTGGACGATCCACGCGGTGTCAGAGACCGCCGGCGGGGTCGTCACGACGCGAACCCGCCGTACGAGACAAGGCGCGGATCTCTGGGGTCGGCTCTGATCGGATGGGGCTATAGGACGAGGATCAATCCGCTCCGAAGCCTTCTGGAACGCTCTCAGAGCGTTCCGGAACGCTGTGGGGAGGCCGCGGCGTCCGAGACATCCTCCAGAGCCGCCAGTTCCCAGAGATTTTCGAGTTATCCTCACCCAGGTTTATATCCTCGTCCTGTTTACGTCTCAGTTGCACCGCCCCTGCCCCACGCCCGTCCCTCGGCGCCCGAGGCGCGCTGGGCGGCGACAGCGGGAGCGCGGTTGCCTCTTGAGCTCACTCGGCTCGGCCCATTCGGCAGCCGAGCGGACGTGGCATCGATGTCTTCTGGAGGCCGTCTTGTTCCCCCTAGCGAGCACGGGCGTGACAGGGTGGATGAGGGGGAGGGGGCTCGGGGGCCTTGAGACAGGGGTCAATGCAAACGGGGACGGTAGGTTCGCGTCGTGCCGACCAGCGGTGACCCCGCCGCTGGCGTTCAAGGTTGAGCGCCGCCCGCAATCCAGAGTCGACCGATGTTGCACGATCGGACGTTTCAGAGACGGCCGATCGTTGGAAGTTGAACGATCCCCGCGGTGACAGAAACTATCGCCGAAGTCGGTGCGGCACGAACCTGCCGTACATTGACCCGGGCTTGCGCGTAGGATCCTGCAGGATGCTGCAGGATCCTGCAGGATCTTGCAGGATCCTGCGAAGCCTGACTGACCCAAGTTTGGATTGGCCCTGGTCAGTAGTAGGGCGACGAAATCTGTACATATCCACTGCGCCCCGGCCAGGTCCATCCTGAACCCAGCAGCGGTGTATACAGGAGGAGTATGCAAAAAAAGGCACAAACAAAACGTACGGGGACGATCTTGTTTACCAATTCTGCTTATGTTTTGAATTTGTTGCGGTATTTACAATGTTTCATGCAAAATCCCCCTGTAGGGGGACAGGCCCGACCTAAAGCTAAGTTCTGAAACTGAGCTCCTTCCGTCGCCGGCTCGGCGGCCGAGAGAGGGCTCCGGCGCCGAGCGGGCGCAGGGCCCGTCTGGCGCCGGCCTCGTAGAGGGCGCTCGTGCCTCCGAGAGCTCACGCTCGAAGCTGGCGTGCCGTTATTTTTGTTGTGATGGAGTCCAGTTTCCCACCGCCCCATACCCACAGGCAGGACGGGGGAGAAGGGAGGATAGGGGAGGTCCTCCTCCTCCTCCTCCTCCTCCTCCTCCTCCTCCTCCTCCTCCTCTTCCTCGCTCGTCCTCCTCCTCCTCCTCCTCCTTTTCCTCCTCGCTCATCCTCCTCCTCCTCCTCCGCCTCCTCTTCCTCCTCATCTTCCTCCTCCTCCACCTCCTCCTCCCCCTCCCTCTCCTCCCTCTCCTCCCTCTCCTACCCATGGAAGTGGCGGTGGAAAACTGGCCCTATCATGTTGGGGTTCTACCGGGAGGCTGGGCGGCCAGCATGGGCGCCCAGAGCTTCGCCGACTGGAGTGCCACCACGGCGACGTGCGCCCCCCAGACGGGGTCAGAGCCAATGGGGTCGGAGGCTCGCGCCGCATCGCCGAGGCAGCGGCGATGCGGCTCGGTGTGGAGCCCGATGGCTTCCACGCCGACTTTGCCGAAACGGCGCCGGAGGCATCGCTGATACATCGCCGATGCATCGCCGATGCATCTACGATGCGGCGCGATCCTCCGACCCCGCCCACTTTTCGGTGGCAGATCATGGGAGCATGGCATGTCCTCTTAACTCCGCCTTGAGCGTCGATTGGATTCTGGGAGTCGGTGAGGCAGCGCCGATTCGGCGTCGATGTGGCGCCGGTCAGCGTCGACTGGCGTCGATCCGGCGTCGATGTGCAAGCGCCGACCAGATGCCATGGGAGGCCCCCGTGAACTCGCCACCGAGCAGTCTGACCCCGTCGGGGCGGCCTCCAGGCGAGCTGCGTGCTGGTGCCGTCCGATTGCTTCGAGGCCCCAAGCCCGCCCGCCGTGCGCTTCGGCCTGGGGCGCCGCAACTTTCCCGAGGCCGGCGTCGGGCACGTCCCCCCTTATGAGGAGGAATATACGCCGGTCGTTTGCAGGTGGGTAGTTTTGGATTCCCAGACCCCAATCTGTGTCGAGCGCCCTCCTGCCTCAAGGATCGGCACGCTGTTGCTGTGTTTTGCTATTCTCTGGGAGCACCTGGACCCCATCTACTTCATCCGCCTTCCTACTTCATGTGTCTGCCTACTTCTTCCGACCGACGTGTACTCCAGAATCGTAAAAAAAAAATCTAGTACGGGGACGGTTCGTCGTGCTGCTTTGACTAAGCTTAGCATCTGCTTGATTGTGTCTTATGTTTCAGCGAAGGCCGGCCGTGCGCAGAGGGGGGTAGGGGAAGAGGGGAAGGCTTCTTAGAAGCACCCCTGCCTCTTGGAAGGCGCGGGCCCTCTCCGTGGGTGTAAGGCCGCAGCCTCCTAAGAAGCTTCCCCCCTCTCCCCCTACCCCCCTGTGCGCGCCGCCAGCGAAAGCCGCCCGTAGGAGGACGTGCCCGACATGACCCCAGGCCCTGGCGCGCCTGGGGCAGCACCTCCGCGCCCAGGGCGCCCAGGGGCCCGCGGCGCCCTGAAAGGGCCCCCCGAGGCCTCGGAGGGTAGCCCGGCCTGCGCGCCGCCAGCAAAAGCCGCTTGCAGGAGGACGTGCCCGACCTGACCCCAGGCCCTGGCGCGCCTGGGGCAGCACCTCTCGGGCCGAACGAAAGGGGGGGATAGGGAAAGGGGGGGTCACGAAATCTGCTGCATGCAGCTGGCTTCGGCCCCCTCCGCCGGGCCCATCCCTCCATGCGTGGGAAAATCGGCTGCGGGAGCTGATCTTCTACCCTGCCATTTGCCATCCCCCCCTTTCGTTCCCCCCGGCACCCAGGGCAGGTCCAGGAGATACGCGCGGATCTTCGAAAGTCTTGATGCGTATCGCGATGTTCTGCTGTTGATCCTCGCCCCCTTCTTTTTCCTCCTCATCCTCCTCCTCCTCCTCCTCCTCCTCCTCCTCCTCCTCCTCCTCCTCCTCTCCTCCTCCTCCTCCTCCTCCTCTCTCCTCCTCCTCCTCCGCCTCCTCCTCCTCCTCCTCCTTCTCCTCCTCCTCTCCCTCCCCCTCCTCCTCCCACTCCTCCTCCTCCTCCTCCTCCTCCTCGCCTCCGCCTCCGCCTCCCGCCTCCGCCTCCGCCTCCTCCTCCTCCTCCTCCTCCTCCTCCTCCTCCTCCGCGCCCAGGGCGCCCAGGGGCCCACGGCGCCCCGAGAGGGCTCGGAGGCCTCGGAGGGCAGGCGGGCCCGGGGCGGCCAGGGGCTCCGGCCGCGGGGCCCGCGGGGCCCGTGCGCCGAAGGGCGGGCGGAGCATCGCAGGCCTCCGCACGTCCTCGTCCTCGTCCTTGTCCTCGTCCTCCTCCTCGTGCTCCTCCTCCTCTTCGTCCGCCTCCTCCTCCTCCTCGTTCTCTTCCTCTCCTCTCCCTCGCTCCTCCTCCTCCTCCCTCCTCCGCCTCCTCCTCTCCTCCCTCCTCCTCCTCCTCCTGTCCTCCCTCCTCCTCTCCTCCTCCTCCTCCTCCTCCTCCTCTTCCTCCTCCTCGTTTTCCTCCTCCTCCTCCTCCTCCTCGTCCTCCTCCTCCTGCTCCTCCTCATCCTCGTTTTCCTCCTCGTCCTCCTGCTCCTCCTCCTCCTCCTCCTCCTCCTCCTCCTACTCCTACTCCTCCTCCTCCTCCTCCTCCTCCTCCTCCTCCACCTTATGCTCTTCCTCCTCTTCCTCCTCCTCCTCCTCCTCCTCATCCTCCCCCCCTCCTTCTCCTCCTCCTCCTCTTCGCTAATACGTGGCAAGCCCCTCGCATCATCCGTCTCGGGCTTCACCACAATGGTCGTGTTCTTCCTGCGACCTATTGTCCACCAGCTGGTTGTTCATTTGCTGATGTGGCTGTCCGTGCCTCTCACAATTTCCGAGCATGATGGGTTCATTCAGCGAAACCCGCAGGTAGACCTCATGAGCTACATCGATGACACTGATGCTCATGCGAGTGGTAAATACGGTGATTTTGTGATTGGAGTTGCTGTCCAAGCTGGTAACCAATTTCAGGAGGTATCGAAGAGGTCGGAGGCGACCCTCAACGACAAGGTCGCCATAGTGTCGAGCAACTCACAGCTAGGGCAAGAAGCTGCGGACAATATTGACATATCCAAAGACAAGTCTAAAGTAGCGGCCTCCTACCTGTGTGCCGATTTCGTTTGTGGTCGTCGCCGCGCTCACCCACATGCTGCTCAGAAGAAGCGGGCTCGGTTGCGCAAGTCCTCGCAGCGCCTGGCCAAGGCGACCAAGCTCAAGTCCATGAAGGAAGTTGATTAGCGACTGAGACGAGTCTACACGACTGGAGTCAAGATGGCTGCGCAGTATGGTGTTGAGATCAACGGGGTTGATGACATGGATCTGCTCGCCATCCGTCGTCAGGCCATGTCCTACCAGCGACGCGAGGTGCCACCCTCCGCGCCAAACTTGCCATACATGGTGAGCCAGCCGTGTGCGAGGCCATGACACCTGCACTTCAGTGGCGCAAAATGTTATGGCAAGCCGTGTCTGTTTCCCGAGGTCGCATTGGCGAGCATGCCAGACCTTGTGCGCATGCGGGACCAAGTCTTTGCCCACAAAGAAGTCGCTCCCACGTGGGCCCAGACCAGAGGCCCGAGTTCCAGGGTGCCGCTGTGCCTTGCTCGAGGAAGGCGGAGGCTTGCCTCAGCCACCTGCGTGGGTTAACCAGGACGGTATAACGATTCAGCTAACACAGTGCTCTCCCGCCATGCTAAGCAGGATGTTTAGTACCGTGTTCCAGGATTCCAACGAGAAGGCGTTGGGGGACAGATGGGGGTTACTTGTTGGGGTGAGGACTTACCTGGAAGCGGTCAGGAACTGTTTGATGGCCAAGTCGTCCAAGTATACGAGGTTTGCCGCCTGTGATTGCCTATGGACGGGGCAAATGGACCATGCCAATGTGTACCGCACCTCCAGGGCCAGACTTTGTGAATGTGGATCCCATGATACTGTGCACCACCGCCTTTATTGTTGCACCCCCCCCTTGCGGTTTCACAGGCGCGTTCTGACTCTGAAGTCCTTGCGTCGTTCCTAGGGGAGGCCCAAGGGGACCCGAGGAGCTTGATATTTAGCAAAGGTGTGGTTTCGGTGTTGCCAGGAGACATCCCTCTCATGCTCGGAGCTCCGTGTGCTCACGTGCTGAATGGTGAAGGAGAGCTTTCCCCCAACCCTGCGCCCGAGGAGGCCACCAACTGCGCTGGCCCAGGCACCACACTACACCTAGCAGTGCACGGCAGTAGCTCGATGCCAGTTTTGTCGTGTTTTCAGCGAGCTGTTTTTGTCATAGTTCGGCTGACCCCCAGAACGAAACCACCCTGTCTGTTGTGCGTGGCACCGTGCCTGGAGGTGTTCCGCAGACTCCTGCTATCGCTGAGAATTGTTCCTTGGCCGTCGCCTGCCAAATGGCTGACCGCAGCACCAGTATCCATGCGAACCGCAAGGCTGCCATAGCCCAAGCCCTGTTGCCCGAACACGGGCAGAGTCGTGCCAGCCGGGTGGTCGCAGGAGCCCCAGCTTTTGCCAGGTCTCTAAAAGGGTGTGGACACGTCGAGTCCATCCAGCATGTGAAAGCCCGCGGAAGCGGGGACGCGATAGATAACGTACTGCTTGTTGAGCGTGGCCCAGCGAAGGCGAACCGTGCTGCCGACATCCACGCCAACGAGGCGCCAGCAGGCTGGAAGATGAGTTCAAGAAGGCCTCCCTCTTTGTCAAGTTTGCTGCCGCTGTCCTTCCCACTTCCCAGTCCGGGTCTAAGAGTGAGCGACCGCTTGCACGCCATAGGTCAGTCAATATCTCTCCTGGATGGCATGAGTGGGAACAGGGCCCTTTTGGAGCACAGTGCAAGACCTGTTTTATGATTGATCACGGAGGCTCCCCGAAGGAGGCCATGCGATGCTCTGGGGCCCTTGAGTTCGTTCGTCAGGTTGTTCGCCGTTCCCTGGGACACCTTGTCGTTGGCGTGGCCTCCCACGAGATTCACCCCAGAGCCCCAGTGCCTCCCAGAGCTAAAGTCAACCCTTTTTCGTTACAGTTGTTGTGCATTCGTTGCGGTTGCTGGGTCCAGCGCTGCTCCCGCAACCTCGGGAAGGTCTGCTTGAGGTCCACGCAACGGGTCTGGGCCCTAGCAACCGTGTCAGGCACTGCAGTGACAGAGCTGCTGCGGTGTCAGAGTTGCAAGTGCAGCCCAAACCGAGTTGTAAGACTCTTGCTCGTACGTCCGTTCCCTCCGCCCACTCCTGTTCCCCCTCCCTTCCCGAATACGAGAGACGGCTGGCGGCACTCCAGGAGCGTGTGAGAGCCAGACTGGCTCACAAGGCGGAGGAATATTTATGGTTTTGGCACCCAGTCGCGGCCCCGGTCAGAGTGTTGGGAGCTCTGTCCTCCAGGGTGACAAATCCATCTTTGACGGGTGCCTTGTCCCCAGTTCAGATTTGCGAGTACAAACCCTTCGGGGTTGTCCTAACCTAACCTCCTTCTCGTCATCGTCCTCCTCCTCATCATCATCATTCTCCTCCTCCTCCTCATCCTCGTCCTCGTCCTCGTCCTCGTCGTTTTCCTCCTCCTCCTCATCCTCCTCCTCGTCCTCCTCCTCCTCCCTCTTCTCCTCCTCGTCCTCCTCCTCCTCTTGCTCCTGGAGACCGCTTCGACGGGGTCAGATAGAAGAACAAACAGCGGGATAAACATAAACTGTTGGCGTTCCGCGCGGAGCTGTTGGATCTGCGGCGCGCAGGGGAGGGGCAGTCCGGCGCGGATCCAAGAAATCCGCGCGGAGCTCCAACAGTTATGTCTGTGCCGTGTTGTCTTCTTTGTGCGGGCGGGGGCGGCACCCTGGCTTGTCTATAGGCCCACCAAAGAATGTTCCAAGAACCTTTGATGTGGTCTGCACGACATGTTGTCAGGACATGCCTGGCTGGGGTTGTCTTGTTTTGACGTATCGGGCTTACGTTCCAAGGGCATTGTTTGTGCAATTGGAACACTGTGGGGTTCGGAGGACATGTCGTCGTAGGCCTGTGGGAACTGCGGGTCGGTCGGTCCGTGCTCAGTATGCGGAGGCCTGCGCTGTTCCGTCCGCCGGGCCCGTCGGACCCGTGCGCGCGTGGCGCCGCGTGCGCCGGTCAGGCGGCGTGGCGGCCCAGCGTGTCGCGGGGTGAGTGCGCTGCGTGCCGCGCGCGGCTGGCCTCCCAGCGATCCGACGAGGTGCTGTACGTGCTTTCGGCCGGCGGGCTTTCTGCGATGTGGGCCCGGCTTCCCAGATGGGGTCCAAGTTAGATGGGGTCGGAGGATCGCGCCGCATCGCCGCTGCAACGACGACGCCGGCTCGACGTGGAGCCCGTGTTTCCCCACGCCGACGTCGCCGATGCATCGCCGACGTCGCCGAGGCATCGCCGATGCATGGGCGTTGCATTGGCGATGCGGAGCGATCCTCCGACCCCATCTACTCGGACCCCATCTAGGAGACCTCTGATCTGGGCGTGGCCTCTGGGGCCCGTTGTCGGGCCCCAGGGCCATCAAAACGTATCCGGTGCGAGAAGTTGGCCCCTGGGAGAGGGGTCGCTGCAGTGATCGCTGCGACTTGCAACAGGTACAAGGCAGTTGCCACCCACTTGCAAGGCACTTGCACATGGGTTGCAAGTCCGCCCGGCTGCTCCAAGTTGGGCCTGCGACCTACTCTGATTCAGAGACGTTAGGCAGACCTGCGACCCACTTGCAGGCGCCTTGCAAGCGGATTGCAACCACCTGGCCCACTGAAAGTAAACATGAGCTCACTGACGGCAAACATTTGGCACACATAATTGCCCTCAGTGAAGCAGTTGTGCCTTCAGGCTGCCTTTGGTGACAATGTTTCGCCTCCAGTGAGCTCCTTGCCGCCATCCTGCTGCAAGGCGCGCCGCCCACTGCGGCGGGACCTCCTTGGAGCCGCGCATTGGAAAAGCAGATCCTCGGACGTTTGGGCTCAAGTCCCCGCGCCCTTCCGGACTGGGCGCTTCGTCCCCCGGGCGCGGGAACCTTGAGCGGCACCTCGCCGCACCGCGGGCGGCCGCGATGATGTGCGGCGCCCCGAAGCCCCTCGCGCATGCCGCATGTATGCCACAGAGAGCACGACGGGCTTCGGGGCATCTTGTGCCTGACAAAACAAACAGCGGGGCTCCTTTCGACTCCTCTGACTCGATTCGACTCGGTGTCGTTCGATTCCGGGCTCTAGGTTTCTCCACAGAGGCGACCCTACCAGCTTGTCGAGTTCCGCCGATTCGAGTTCTCCCCACGTGGCTGCCGAGTTCCTCCGATCCGACTCATTTCGATCGTCGATCCGACTGATCGAGTCGATGTTGGCCTCTCGTGCAACAGTCGGCAAAGCACCAACACTTCCGACCGTGCGCGTCTCGGGCTCCTCTCCCTCACGGGAGGTGTTCCCTCTACTGCTCTGCTGGGAGGGCGCTGGCAGGCGAGCTTGGGGAGGCCTACGCGGAGGAGGAGGAGGAGGAGGAGGAGGAGGAGGAGGAAACGGAAGAGGAGGAGGAATGGAAGGAAGAGGAGGAGGATGAGGAGGAGGAGGAGGAGGAGGTCGAGGACATCGAGGGGGAGGAGGAGGAGGAGGAGGAGGAGGAGGAGGAGGAGGAGGAGGAGGAGGAGGAGGAGGAGAAGAAGGGAAGGTCAAGGATCGAGGATCGAGGAGTCGAGGTTCCAGGAGGGGAGCGGCCGAGAAGGGGGGGACACCACATGCCTGCGTCCCGCTGCACGACGCCGCCGAGGGGCGGCTGTTGGTCTGGACGGCTCCACGGGGTGGCCGAGGCCAGGCCTGACGCGAGTCCTCGCGAGCGGGCTCTCGCAGGTGTGTGTGTGTGTGTGTGTGACCATCTGGGGGCAAGACTTCGGGCAAGACTTATATCCATACCCAGTGCGTCGTGGACTTTCTTGGAAGGGACACCACGAGGCCGAGGCGCACTGGACATGGATAACAATCGAGCCTCTAGGGGGCAAATGTATCCATGTCCAGTGCGCCTCGGGCTTGGAGTGCATATGAACAGAAGCATTGCCCGCAGAAATATGTCCACTAGACTATCTCGTGCTTGCCCACCATCAATGGCAAACGGCGGCCCACGCATCGTGTGCCGTTGGTTGTTCAACACTTGTCGCCCAAGAAAACCAGACACAAACATATACATTGCGTTGCCGCGTGGCGTTGCTGCGCAACCCCTTGGGACAGGGCCCAGAGACCTCAGCGTAGTTCTACGCGCGGTTCCCCCAGTCCCTCCCCCGCGCTGGTAGAGGCAACGCGGTTGCAGGTTTCTGGCACAGGGCCCCCCCCGAAGCGCAACACCCGGCGGGCTTCAGGGTCCAGCCGGAGGCGTGCCGGCAAGCTGGCTGCGCAGGATTTGGCCAGTCAGGGCGAGAGTGAGTTGGGTACAGTCAGCCGGCGGCTGCAACGACGTTCGAGGACCGAGGCCCAGCACGAACGATGAATAGGTCCGCACTTTATGCATTCTCTTGCGGTCCGGAGGACGTGGCGCGGTCTCACGAATACAGTCAAGCCGCATAGTAAAGATGAGTAATTTTCTCAAGAGGAGCCCGCGCATGCGTGCCTCCTCGGTCCATCCTTCGCCACTCGTCGGTCGCGTCCCGCTCGAGAAGCTTCGCAATGGGCATCCGAGGCCCTCGGCATCCTCATCGCGCACATCTTTATGATGCGGGTTGGCGGTACACCACGTGTCCTGGCGGCGCTCGGCCGCACGCGAACGGGCGCGCTTTCCACCCAGGGCCGCTCCTCAGAGGAGGAAGAGGTCACGATAATGATGCGCTGATGATTTTCCAGAGGAGGAGGAGGAGGAGGAGGAGGAGGAGGTCACGATAATGAAGAGGAGGGAGGGCCACTCCTCAGAGGAGGAAGAGGTCACGACCATGAAGAGCTCAGAGGAGGACGAGGACTCTTCCATGATTCTGTTCCAGATGTCCTGATGCTGCGCAGTGGGCCCTGGAAGCGGGGGCCGCTGGCCACTCCGGACTTCATGGAACGTGCAGTGGAGTTTGATTATGGCAGGTTTGAGTCATGCCTGTCCCTCTACAGGGGGAATATTCGAAAATAGTCCAAAAATAGTCTGGGGACGATGTTTCGACCATCTTTTACCATTGGGGAATATGTTTTGAGTACATATGTTTGATTTGTCGTCGACGATCCCCCTGTGGGGGGACAGGCCCGACTTAATCGTAGGTCGACCCTTCCAGCTCGAGGGTGTGCCCGCGTGTCCTGTGCCTCACGGCCCCCGTCTCCTGCGTCCCTGGGTCCGTGGGGCACCTCGGAAGAGCCTGGTGCCCGAAGGATAAAACGCCATGCGCATCAAGGCGCACATGCTCCTCCACAGGAGGAATGCTCAAACGTAGCACAAAAATAGATGGACACGTTTTTGTTTGTTTGCTTGTTGTTTCATTCTATGTTTTGAAGCTTGCTGACTATTCTTGAGTGCCTTGACTCTTGGCGCTCCGCGAGGTTTTTTTGGATCTGCGCTGGAGCCCCCCCTGGCGGGGCCCCCGACGCCGCCTCTCGGCGCGCTCCGCGCGCCAGGGAGGGGTCCCGGCGCAGATGCAGGAGCTCCGCGCGGAGTGCCAGAAGCTTGTGTTTGTGCAGTTCTGTCATTCTCTGGGGTGTCCTCTCGCGCGCCCTGCCCAATCACGCTCGACTGCATCCTGAGCCCACCATGCCCGGACGCCGTGCCCGCCCCGAGTGCCCCCCCCCGAGGGCCCCAGGAGCGGCCCTCTATATGAGGCCGCCGAGACGCTTCGGGCCCGATGTCGGGTGGAGCCTCCGGAGTGTGTGGGCAACTCCGCCCACTGCCTCTCCCACTGCCTCCCGAAGTCTGATACCCTCTCGCACGCGCCCTGCCCAACCGCGCTCGACGGCATCCCGAGCCCATCGCGTCGGGACGCCGTGCCCGTCTCAGCTGCCCCGCGGAGAGACACTCCCGAGGGGCGGCCCCGCGCGAGGCCGCCGAGGAGACGCTTCGGGCGCGGTGGCGGAGCTGAGCCTCTGGAGGGTCGTGGCACCCCGCCCGTTGCCCTGGAGGGCCAAGCCGTGTGACGTTCCAACCTGCTCCAGCCTTGATCACCAGAAAGAGCTTCGAGCACCAAGGAAGTACCGAAGCTGGAGGGTGTGCACGTGTCGGGCCCTGGGAGGCGATGCTCGTTCGACCCTGTTTCGGCGTGTGTTCTGGGTGCTCGGAATTAGTTCTGGAATGTGGTCCTTAGGTACGATGGGAGCAACATTAGCCAAGTCGACCTGCTACTAGAAAACCAGCATCTGGGGGGCGATGCCAAATGCCGCTCTCACGTCCTAGCCAAAAGCGTCGGTGGACACACTGGATGCCGTGATGTCCATAGACACTTTCAGGGTGGATCAGGTCCAGTGTGTTCCTATTCTATAGCTGGTCCCACAATATATTCCAACCATTGCCTCCCCCCTTCACTCCCTGCAAGTGGCACGGTGACATTGGCGACACGACCTGGACACGAACGGCAAGCAGATTTGTCAGAGTGGGAGGAGTCTGGAGAACCAGCTCGCAGCCACGAGACGAGATCACGCCAGTGTTTCCCGAGGGCCTGTGCGACTCTTTTCGTCCCGCCCAGAAGGGCGCGGCTCTCCTCTCCTCGCAGTGTAGTAGTTGGGCCTGCCAGCGCGTGCTCGACGGAAGCTTCTTCTCCCCCGATGGCCCCAGGGGCTTACATAGGCCCTGGGACACCTCGTGAAGTTCAAGACTCGGCGAAAAACGTGCTCCTAGATGCCCTGGAGCACGATACGATGCAAGAGGCTTACGCCATCCCGCCAGCTCCCAGAAGAGGATATGTGTTGCTTCCGGCAACGCCGTCGCGCTGCCTGCGTGCAGTTGTTGCCGTGTCGTCGCCGTCGTCGTCCTCCGCGCCTTGTGCGGGTGTCCTCTTCGGGGGACGACGTCTTTGGGAGCCTCTTGGAGGTCTGAGGTCTGCGAGTTTTTTCGAGGCTCGGGGGTGCTGATTTCTCATCCTGAGCTTCTCCTGGAGCCTCGTTCCCACGCCCGTCCCGTGCTCCCACGCGGCCTCGTGCGGCTCCGCCCTTCTGGACTACGCCACGCGCTGCTCGGACCTGCCCCTCGGCACGCGCGCGGCGGCCTTCGCAGTCTGAGTGTGGCTCCCTCCCCAGACCCTCGACGTCATGATTTTTTCATGACGCGACCCCCAGAGGTCCGGACCCATTCCCCGGGACTGGTTTTTCATCCTGAGTCGTTTTTTGACGGTCCTGAGGGCCGGTAAGGGCCCCCGGAGGCCGAAAATAGCGAAAACCCTTCCGTCGTGATTTTTTCATGACTCGAGGGGGTCTGGGTCCTGGTCCTTCGTGGTCTCCCCGAGCGGTGCCGCGCCCGCCCCCGCCCCGCGAGGCGGCGCCCGCGCGCGGGCGCGGGAGCTGCTTCTGGCGGAGCGCGGCGGGCCGCTGCCTGCTGGCGGTGGTGGGCTCGCAGGCGCGGGGTGCCTTTCCGCGTCGGGGCGGCACGGTAAGAGGTCCATGTCCAGCCGGTCGATCCGATTCGATCTATGTGTATATATACATATGTATAGATTTGTCGATGTATATATATACATATATATATATATATATATATATATTACAATAATAATAATATTATTAATAATAATAATAATGTATTAATAATAATACTAGTAATAAGAATAATAACCATAATACTAATAATAATAATGATAATAATAAGAAGAAGAAGAAGAAGGAAAAGAAGAAGAAGAAGTAAATACCCCCCCCCCTGGCCCCGGGTCCCGCACCTCCCCGCGACGCCTCGGGGAGGCTCTCGGAACCGCCCCCCCGGCCTTGCCGGGAAGGCCCCACAGCGGCGCCCCCAGGAGGGCCCAAGAGTGCGAACGAGTGCGAAAGGAGCCCAAGGAGCCCCCAGAGTGCGAATGGATGGCCCAAGACGCTCCCAAGCAGTCCAGAATTTGGAAAAACAAAAAAAAATCCCAGAGTTCCTTTTTTTTTTCAAAGTTGGACTCCAACTCGGGGGTCATACACATCCCTGACATGTGGCCGGTGCCGCGCCTCCCGGCTTCTTGGGGAGACCCCAAGACGCCGAAGGTTAGCCCATGACGACCCCAAGGAGCTCCCAGAACGTAAAGAACGGTCCGAATGGTCCAAGAGCGCCGAAGAGCGCCCAAGACTGCCCCAAGACCACCCAAGAGACCCTCAGGACGGCCCCAAGAAGGGCCAAGAAGGCTCCAAGACTGCCGAAGAGGCGCCCAGGACAGCCCCAGACCACCCCAGAACAGGCCCAAGATGGGCCCAAGAGCGGGAGCAGGAGGCTTCCAGAGACCTCCGAGAGGCTTCCAGGGCCACCCAGAGGCCCCCAACACACATTCCCGATCCTTGAGAGACCCCAGAAAGACCCCGACGAGGCTCCAAGAACAGCCCAAGAGAGCTGCGAGAGCCATCCCGAGAGAGCCCAAAGAGGGTAAAATCGTTGATTCCCCATGTTTTTTTCCCAATGCTTCTCGCCTTCTCACGTTTTCCCGCTTCCAACCCTCAAAGGTCGAGAAGTGTTGGGGAGAAACAACAACAACAACAACAACAACAACAACAACAACAACAACCACAACCACAACCACAACAACAACAACAAGAACAACAACAACAACAACAACAACAACAACAACAACAACTACAACAACAACAATGTTAAGACTGTTCGCCCTTATATGCTCGAGTGTCCAATAACGCGTATTTCCCAAACCCTCGATACCCGCCCTCTTCGTCTTCGATCGAACCCCTTTTGGGGGGTATACCTTTCTTCCCTGCAGGCCGGGCCCCGGCAAGCGGCGGGGCGGCCGCGGACCGTCGGCCTGGCCAGCGGCAGCGCTGATCGGCGGGGCGGCCGCGGACCGTCGACCCGACCCCAAGAGGGACGGACAGGGGACCGACCACGACGACGACGACGACGACGACGACGACGACGACGTCGAAGACGACGGCGACGACGGACGACATCGGCGACGACGAGCGAAGCGAGAGCGAGAGAGAACGACAGCAGGGCCACGAAGGGCACGAAGTAGGCCACGAAGGGCGACAGCGGGGACACGAATGGAATGCGTATGGGGCCACGAAGAGCGCGAACGAGCGGGGGCCACGAAGTGCAGATAATGCGGGGCCACAGAAGGCAACTATGGGGCCACTGAGGGTAGCAACTGGGCCACCTAGGACAGTGAGGGGGACACAAATGGCGACAGCGGGGTCACGAAGGGCATGCACATGGGGCCACAACGGGCACGACTCCTGGGTGCCTGGGTGTCGGGAGCGCGGCGCTTGGGCAAATTGCAGAAAATTCCAACGCAAGGCCATTTTCAGTAAGTTGCAAGCAAGTCTCCAGCGAGAGCGCGACTCCAGAGCGCCGGGAGAGCGATTCCTGAATAAATTGTAAGGAGGTCCCAAGCGAGAGCGCGATTCCTGAATAAAATGCGCGGAAGTCTCAGGCGGGAGCCGTTGTTGTTGTAACCCGGGGGCCAGGGGCCCAGTTTGAGCATCAAGACTTTCCCTGCCAAAAAACCGGGTGCGAGCGTCGAGGGGCACATTTTCATTGAGAGAAAACAGTATGCACCAGTGGGGGGTGTCAACAATAATTACTCTTCAGAAATGAGAACTCAACAACAACAACAACAACAACAGCAGCAGCAACAACAACAACACCAACAACAACAAAAGGATTCCCAGAGTTCCTTGTCTTTGTTCAAAGTTGGAGTTCCTGCTCGAGGGTCGTACACATCCCCTGACATGTGGCCGGTGCCGCGCCTCCCGGCTTCTTGGGGAGACCCCAAGACGCCGAAGGACAGCCCATGACGACCCCAAGGAGCTCCCAGAACGTAAAGAACGGCCCAAAACGCTCCCAAGCAGTCCAAAACGTCCTGCGGACGGCTCTCCACGCTCTCAGGAGGCCTCCAAAAGGCCCCGAGAGAGGTCCGAGAGAGGCGTCGGGGCAAAGCCCGAAGAGGCCGGAATCGTAGATTTTGATTGTTTTTTTCATGTGTTTGGCCTTCTGACGTTTTCGAGCTTCCAACGATCCAAGACCGCCCCAAGACCGCCCAAAAGACCCCCAGGACTGGTCCAAGACGGGCCAAGAAACCCCCAAGATTGCCGAAGAGGCGCCCGGTACCGCGCCCCCCGGCCTCTCGGGGAGCTCCCAAAACGCTCCAGGACGCCCCAAGACAGCCCCAAGAACCCCTCAGAATGCAAAAGAACAGCCGAAGATGCTCTTGAGCAGCCCAAAGCAGTCTGTGGACGGCATTCCAGGCTCCAGAAGACCTCCAGACGCCTCCAAGACACTGCAAGAGAACTCCGAGAGACGTCCCAAGAGAGGCCAGAGAACAGCACAAATCATTGAATTTCAATGTTTTTGTTTTCAGAAATGCTTGGTTTTCTCAATTTGTCATGCTTCCAACGCTCAGGGACGACCGAAGAGACTCCCAAGACCGCCCCAAGACCGCCCAAAAGCCTCCCAAGACAAGCCCCCCGAGACGGCTCTCCGGGCCTCCAGGAGGCCTCCAGAACCCTCAGGGGGTCTAGAAGATCCCACACCCCTGAGGGGCCCGTTTAAGAAAACCCGCGATGCACAAACAAAAAGCAGCGCCGAAGAGCGCCGAGGAACTGGACAAACATTGAAGTCCCACAGTTCCTTGTTGTTTTCAAGTTTGGCCCCCGGTCTACTCTTGCACAACAGACCACAATTGAGACCCCCCTCACCTCCCCAAGAAAACCCAGGAAGCCTTCTGAGGGCCCCAAATCGTTGAACACTTCAAGGAAATTGATGATTTCTGCGTTTCCGCACTTCCCCTTCTATACGATTACGAGGCTTGCGAAGGGCCTCCAAGGGAGCCCCTGAACGCAAGAAGCGAACATCATATTACATGAGTTAGCCTATCAAGCCTAACTAGAACTTGAGCGCGCGCGAAGCGCACGCGATGGTTCTAGTATGTGTATATATATTTATACATATACATGTCTACACATACACACCCACACATACATATGTGTATATATATCGTTCGTATACACGCATATCTATCGAGAGAGAGAGAGAGAGACAACAACACAAGCAAACAAACGTTTCCAGCTGGCCCGATCCAATTCGATTTCGACATCCAGAAGACGCGTTGCTGCCTGATGTCCGCATGGCGTTGCTGTGCATCCTGACGCGGCCGGTCCGATGCGATTTCGAAGCCGTGCCGATGCAGACCGATCCGACGCACATTCCGATTCGATGTGGCTTCCCGATTCGATGCTCACAGATCTTGGGATGGCAAGATGCCGCTAGGTATGATCGAATTGGATGCCGCTCGCGTGGGGGTGGCAGGATAGTCCCAGGCATGCTCGCGTCAGGGAAGCATCACGACGGAGGGTTTGTGGTCGTGCTCGGCGTCCAGGTGCCTTCGCCAGGCCCCGCGACTGTCAAATAACGAGTCGGGACGAACAATCGGCCCAGGGGAAGGGTCAGGACATTTGGGGGCCCCGCACTGAAAAATCAAGAGATCGCATATCTGTAGTCGTGTGCCGCTCGCGTCACGGTGGCAGCTAGGATACCCCTCGGCACGATCGAAATAGGCACGGAAGTATCCTGAGATCCGGGCGCTGCCATTTTTGTTCACACTTGGTTTCGTCCGGTTTCGGGCCCCAGGACCTTCACAGATCGGCTCGAAAGCAGGAAAAGGCTCAGAAAGATGTGGTCTGGGGTTCCAACCGCAATCTTTCACGATGCTGCATTTCTTGTCGGTAAGAACGTAATACGTATTACGGAGAGAATGGAGATGAAGGCCGACAGCATCTCTTTGGTTCTGTTGACCTGGATTCGTTGTTGGCTTCGCCGCGGGCATTGTCCGTTTGATGCAGTGAGGCGCTCGCCCAGCAGCGGCCGCTGCCGGTTTTGGCCAACGTTTGCTGCGGGGCTCGTGCCCATTTGTTCTGTACCCCTCTCCGTCGTGCCAGGCCAGAGGTCGAGGACTGGGGCTCGAGGTTCGAAGTCATTGGGTTCACTGCCGCACTTTTTTGGGGCCTCAGTAGGCGCCCTCGTTGCTGCTGCCGGATTCCCTGCGACATTCTTGTTCGGGGCCCACGCCGGGATGAGGAAACGGAGAAGAAGGGATGACCAGGATGAGGCGGAGATCTGTGGACGTAAAGGAGGGGGAGGAGGAGGAGGAGGAGGAGGAGGAGGAGGAGGAGGAGGAGGATCTCAGTTTCGCATTGCTTCCCCCTGGGGCCCCTCGCGCGCTGGCTGCAGTGGCAGGGGGCGCAACGGAGGAGCGACGCAGGAGAATGTGGCCCTTCGCGCGGAAGACAGTCGCACGGACCTTTGCGCGCAAGCTGTTCGCACGAGGTCCCGCGTAGGAGGCCCTCGTGTCCAGTGTGGCTTGCCTCGCTGGCGGCCCGCGCACGCCACCGCGAGAGGTCGCCAGGTCATCGTGCGTAAGACCGGTTCTTCCTAGTCGCCCAGAACGGGAGGGAGGAGGAGGGGGGAGGAGGAGGAGGAGAGGAGGAGGAGGAGAGGAGGAGGAGGAGGAGGAGGAGGGGGGAGAGGAGGAGGAGGAGAGAGGAGGAGGAGGAGGGCCGGTTGCCACCAATATGTCGGCGGCGTGCCGAGGCGGGGAGAAGCGAGAGGAGGCACGCCTTCGCAGAGGGAGGCGGGGCTCCTCAGAAGCCCACCGGCCTCCTCAGCAGCCCTCTTGTGGCTTCGAAGAGAGGGCTTCTCGGAATCTGGGCCTCCCACATGGGCCCAGGAAGCATTTAAGAACCCCCCCGGCGATATCGTAGCACCGCATTTGTTATTCGATATTCCGAGGGGCCGAAATAACCGAACGATAGCTTTAGCACACGGACAGCAAGGAGGGCTCCTGGTGCCAGGTAACGCTTCCAGGGTGCGGAAGGGTTATCGATTTGCCGGAGGGGGGGGGGGTTCTTAAATGCTTCCTGGATGGGGTCAGAGGATGGCGCCGCATCGCCGATGCATCGGCGATGCGGCTCGATGTGTGACCCAATTTTCCCCACGCCGACGTCGCGGATGCGTCGCCGACGTCGCCGACGCATCGGCGATGCGGCGCGATCCTCCGACCCCATCCATCTACTCCGACCCCAACTAGGAGGCCTCTATTCGGAGAGAAGGCTTCTCCTGAGGCCAGGAGCCTTCTGAGCCCTCTGGGAAGCCCTCTCGGTGGGCATCTTTGGGGGGGCGAGCGCACCGTTCGCCGCCAGCCTCTGAGGGCTCGCCTCTCCGCCTCCGCCTCGCGCTCGGGCGGGCAGTCCTTCGACATGTTCTGTGGCGGCCTCATCCTGGCGAACGCCGTGCTGATCGGGGTCGAGACGGAGCACATGACCAACGAGCCGGACACCACCGAGGACATGTTTTCACAAGTCCCAGTTTATCGGAGGTTGATAGACCTCCTACCATGACACGTCGATTAGCTAATTGGCCGTTTTCGGTTCGCGAGGGGGCGTCGCGGCCGTCAGTTTTGCGGGTCCAGGTCCGTCGGTTTCGCTCCTAGGCCGTTTTCACTAAAGGGTGGTTTACTACAGGAAGGTTTGTCCCCCGCCGAGTTTAACAAATTTGACAAGTCCCAAAGCCGTCGGGGGCGTCCTGGGGCCATGCTTGCTGGAGCGATGTGGGAGCGGTTCGGATGTACGTATAATGGGAACATGTGTGGGCCATTATGGAGCTATCAAAGACGCCTATGGTGAATCACCGCCGCCCCCTGCCCTTGTGGAAGCGTCAATGTGGCCGACAGCTGGGCTAGAGCTTGGCCAAACTATCGGGCCAGTTGTTCCCCGAGTCGGTTTGGAGAGCCTTCGGAGAAAGCGTGGGGGGAGCAAGAGGTTTGAAAGCGCCCATGTGTCCAAGCGTTGTAACAAGAGCTCTGCCAAGCTATCGGACCATGTGTTCCCCCAATCGTAAGGAAACCCTTCGGGGATCATTTGGGTAGGGGGATGGCGGGGAAGATCAGGAGGAGGAGGAGGAGGAGCAGAAGAGGGAGAAAAGAAAAAGGAGGAGGAGGAGGAGGACGTGGCATCTTGGGAGCCTCTTGGGGCACTTCTGGGGCCTCCTGGGAGCTTCCTGGGTGCCCAGCTCCTCCCACGTGAGAACCGTCGGTGCGGGCTGGCACGTCGCCTGCCTGCGGTGAGCGCCGGCCTTTCTCCTTCCTGTTCGCTTCTTCCCCCCCCGCTCGCTTCCCCCCTTCCCATGGCGGCAGCGCCCGGCACTGCGCGGCGTCGGCCCAGTGCTAGGCGCTGCACCTTGCCGCTTCGGCGGCCCCGCTCGCCATGGCGCTGCGCGGCTCAGGCCCGGCCCTGGGCATTGCGAGCGTCAGCGCATCGTGCGTGGCTGCTGCCCCGCTGTCGATGCAGGGCAGGTTTTCTCCCTGCAGCTCACCGACTTCCTGTCGGGCATGGACGGCCCGTTCGTTTGGAGGCCGCACCTCAAGTTACGCTGCTACATGGTCGTGGATTGGACTACCACCCCAGGCCCCCTCTGCATCATCTGGTGGCACAGCATTGCTCATCGCCTTCGTGGTGCTCTTCTTCCTCCTGGGCGTCGACCTGGTCAACTGGCGCGTCCCCCCCTGCAGCGCTGTTGGTGTTCGCGGAGTGCCGTTGACGGGAACACCATTTCCTTCGTCTTCCGGGTCTTCGCCCTCGGTCCCTGTCCATGGCGTACCTTTTCCTGCACATACACTTCGGCACCGCCTGTTCCCCGGGCCCCGCCCGCCCTGGCCGCCTGAGGCCCCGCCTTCCTGTGCCCCGTCCCTCTAATTAAAGCTGCGCGTAGCCCGCCTAGCTTTAGCAGAAGAGGTCTGCCCTCGACCCGCAGAAATTTTTAAGCGCGCACGCTAATAGATACTGCAGCCACTTATCGAAGAGACCGAACGGTTTGTGATAGCCGGTGGGCACCTATGCGTTGACGCCCCTTTTGGAAAAAAGAACCATGTATTCTCCATGACGTTGGCATACGCGCGCGTCGTTGCCCACGCGTCCCCCACAGTGCCGCTGCCGCAAAGGATTTCTAGAGAACGCACTTTTCAGATCAACGCATTTGCACTACATCGTACCCCTTTTGACAGGAATGATGGGGCACCAGGCGAGAGTGTGTGATATCTAAGACGAACGGTCGTGCATAATAATTCCGACACGTTGGCCAGCGTGGACCCGAAACAATGTGTCCCTAGCGATATGTGTTGTGCAATCGTTGTGAAGCAATATCTGTGGTGCATTGAAATCTGTCCGCAGTGAGTTGACAACCCCACTGCTCGCGCAATCATCCCACCCACCCACCCGCAACTTGGTTTGCAAAACCCATGCGGCGGCGATTGCGATGACTGCTTGGTGTTTGTTGGTGCGTTTCTGCGGCCGCGCTAGTCCGCGCATGCTCGCGAGCGCAGCGGCCAGCTATTTTGGCGCGACCGACGCGGCCGCGGTGACGCTGACCGCCGGGCACATCCCAGCGGGCACTTCCGTGCTAGTCGGCGACTTGGGCGGGCGCGGTATCATGGCACCGTCGACAACGGTAGACACGATGATGATAGTAGCGGTGTTGGCGACGATGATGTCAGCGGCGACGGCACGGCCAGTGACGGCGCCGATGATGATCACGCCGGCGACGATGACGGCGTCCTCGCGTCGGTGATCAACGTTTTGGAAGGAGTTCGACGTGCCCGCGCGGCCGACGCGCGAGAGTGGCCCGCATAGTGTTATTTGACGCGGAACGTGCCCCCCCCCCCGTCCCCCCAGCACGCGCGCAAGGGAGCGCGAATGAGTTCGACGTGGGGCGCGACGGGCTGACATGTTGAATTCCTGATGGTCCTCTCGCGAAAGAGCTGACCGCCGTTTGTTCGGAAACTGACGCTGCGAAACCACATGTTTCTACTTGTTTTTTGGGGCACTCGATTTAGAAACCCTTGCAAAACCGAGGGGTTTCGAAGGATTGTGGCATGCGTCGGCGACTACAATCGGTACGCGTACGCTGGGGTGCGGTTTACGAGTTGCTTTGTGGCGGCCTTTTTTCCCCCGGGCTTCTGTGAGAGACAGTGCCATAGCTGCCGCCGTTTCGAGCGGCGCTGCCATCCTCGATGTGTGTTCCACTGTTTTAGAACGAGCGACAGTGTCATGTGATTCGGCCGCATTGTGTGACAGTGTCATCCGTTTCCCCGGGGTGGGAGGGGCAGATATGACGGGATGCAAACCGCTCCCTTCGCAGACCGCACCCGTTGTAGTCGCCGGTTGCGCGCGCGACGACGCGCGCGCGCGTGCACTCCGCCTCATCAGTTGCAATGGATTCTCGCGACAGCACGCGCGACAGGGCGTTCGAAAGATTTCGGCATACTCGCGCGGAGCCCGTTTGGTCGCATTGGATGAAAATGTTGAAACAAATGTTTTTGAACAGTTCGCAAAAGCACGCGCGCGAGTTTTTGTTCGAAAATCCGCGTTGCGAAACCATGCGTGTTGTTTTATATATGCGCTCGGACACACAATTTTGAAGCCCGTGCGAAACCGAGGGTTTTTGAAGAATTCCAGCACGGGCGCGCGACAACGCGCGCGTGCGCATTTCGTTACGTTTTCCTGCAAGGGGTTATTGGAAATTTCTAGTTTGTGATAAACGAGAGATCGCGCATATAATTTGTTGCAAAGGATGGCGGGGGGGGGTGTCGAGAGTGGCCTAGCTGAGATGGTACGAGCTCATATTTAGGATGGGTGGTGGGGCAGAATCAGAAGTAAATTGCAAGACGGGAAGGGGGACCGATAATCCCGGGGGGTAGAGCGCATCTGTTGTAAAAGGACAATCTAAGTTATGCCAGATATGGTATGCTATCTATGTCGTGCAATACACGTGGTGACTATAGGTATTGCGCCATATATATATATATATATATAGAGAGAGAGAGGGAGTGATATCGTCCAGTCCTTTTTGGGGCAATCGATGTGATACGATGTGTACACATATGTGTATATACAGTGCACTCTCTACGTGGTGCAACCCATGTTGTTAATCCAGGTCACCCCGTATAGGTTGCCAAACCTACATGATGCGCAATGTATGTCGGTGCAATCGGCGTGATGCAATCCAGGTGGTGCAATATATGTGTTGATATCGACGTGGTGCAATGAATGTATGTGGTGCGGTCGATTTGGCGCAAGTGGTTTTCAAAATCTTGGAGTTGCCAACCCTGTTGTTCGCGCAGTCATCCCACCCACCCACCCGCAGCGTGGTTTGAGAACCTATGCAGCGAGGATTGCGTTGAGTTCGTGGTGCTTGGTGGTGAATCTCTGCGGCCACGCTAGCACGCGCATGCTCGCGCGCACGGCTGCCGTCTAGTTTGGTGTGACCGATGCGGCCGCGGTGGCGCTGACCGCTGGACACTTCCAAGCGCGTCTCGAAGGCCGTTCTGACGCGCGGGCATATCAGTGCGAATCGGTCACATTGGCGGGCCGGTCTCATGGCGACGCTGACAACGGTAGACACGATGATGATAGTAACGATGATGATGACGATGAGGACGATGACGACGGCGAGGCCAATGACGGCGCCGATGCTGGCCACGCCGATGACGGTGATGGTGTCCGTGCGTCGGCGATATAGGTTTTGGAAAGGGTTCGACATGCGCGCAGTCGACGCGCGCGAGTGGCATGCGTGGTATTAGCTGACTGGGGTCCTCCCCCCAAAAAAAATCACGCGCGCAAGGGCGGTCGAATGATTCCGACAAGCGCGCTCGAGAGGTCCGTGTGGCCGAATTCGGTGAACATTTTTGTAAACAGAAATCGATGTTCAAAAGGGATTCGCAAAAGCGCGCCCATATTCCCCCATGCGATGTTGCAAAAGCATGTGCTGTCGAGACGCTCGACGTTGAAATGTCTACGACGCCAAAGGGTTTTGAAGGATGTCGGCATGCACGCGTCGTCCTGATACAAGTATGTGCGCGCGCATCGCTCATTTTGCAAAAGGATAGCCAGGAAGGGGGTCAAGATCGGTTGTGCGGGGACGGTACGCAAATCCTATTTAGGATGGGCGTTGAGACAGAATCATATGTAAACGCATATCTCGCAGGCGGGCGGATAATCCAGCGGTGGTGGTGGTAGATCCGAATTCTATGTTTCAGAAAGGGGAGCCGACGTGGTTCAATATGCGTTGAGCCATCCACGTGATGCAATATGTGTGGTACAGCCTACGTGGTGCAATCTACGCTGTGCAATATTTGATGTACGACGTACGCGGTGCAATATACTTGGGGAAATATATGTGGTGCGCAATGTATGTGGTGCAATCGACGTGGTGCAATCTGCGCGGTGCGACCTAGGTTGTGCAATCGACGTGGTGCATTCCATGTGGTGCAGTCTATGTAATGCAATGTGTGCTGTGCAATTTCTGTTGTGCACTCCATGTGGGGCAACCCATGTTTTGCAATCTACCTTGCAGGGTTTGAAGTTGTCAGCCCCACTGCTCGCACAAACATCCCAACCACTAACCCGCAACATTGTTTGTGAAACCCATGCGTCGGCAATTGCGCCTGCTGCTTGGCGTTGGCTGGCGCATCGCAGCGTCCGCCCAAGCGTGCAGGCTCGTGCGCAGAGCGTCCAGCTAGTTTGGCGGGTCCGACGCGGCCGCGGTGGCGCTGACCGTTGGGGACTTTCCCAGCGCGTCTCTCAGGCCGCGCGCGCGGGCAATTCAGTGCGAGCCGGTGATTCGGGCGGTTGCGGTATCATCGCGATGTCGACAATGGCATAAACGATGATGAGAGCAGCGATGATGGTGACGATGATGACGAAAACGACGGCAAGGTTAATGACGGCGCCGATGCTGATCACACCAATAACGATGATGGTGTCCACGCGTCGGTGGTGAGGGCTTTGGAAGGATTTCGGCACGCGCGCGCGGCCGACGCAGACGAGTGGCCCGCGTGATACCATTTGACAAGGATCGTGCCCGGCCCCCCCAGCAAACGCGCAAAATCGTTCGAATGATTCCGACATGCGCGCGCGAAAAGCCCGCTGGATCGCATTTGGTTTGATTAAGAATGTTAACGATGGTTTGATTAAGAATTCGCAAGAGCGCGCGACTGGGGAAGCGGCGTGTGTGTTTGTAACACGTGGTCGGGAAATTCGATGTTGACTCCATTCAACACCCCAGGGTTGTTGAAGAAGTCCGGCATGTGCGCGATGACGCGTGCGTGTCGACGTTGTCTTGCTTCCTGTCGCCAGGAATTATAGAGCACGTATGATCTGTGTTGAACGAGTGTGCTCGCATAGTGCATTTGACAGGGATGAAGGGGAGGGTCGATAACGGGACTCATAGGGATGGTACGAGTCCATATATACAATGGTGGGACGGGACCATATGTAATTTGTACTATCCCAATGTTGGCCGATATTTCCAGGGGGGTAGATCTTAAATCCGACTTTACAAAAGAAAGTCTAGACGGCGACGGGGCGGCGACTGCAGCAAAATAGCCGCCAGACCGGCAGACAGGCCGTTGATCCTGAGTAGTGTTGATCGCGGCCGCGGGGCCCAGCAGAGGGGCCCCCGCGTGGCAAGAGAACAGTCAGAAACAATTCTAGCCACGATTAGGCTGAACGACGCGAGGGCCTTTGGGCCCTCCCACCACTCGCACCACTGTGCTGTTTGGATGTTTCGGCCCTCTGCGCGGGATCCGCCTCTCAGTCAGAGCCAGGGGGACCCCAGGCAGGCCGAGGTTTTCAACAGGGACGGCCCTGCATACATTGCCAGCCGCAGGGGCCTCGTGAATGGAAACTCTGACTTGGATCAGCTTCCTAAGCGCCATTACCTCCACCTCCCCCTCCTCCTCCTCCTCCACCTCCCCCTCCTCCCCCTCCTCACTCCTCCCCCTCCTCCTCCTCCTCCTCCTCCTCCTCCTCCTCCTCCTCCTCTCCTCCTCCTCCTCCTCCTCCTCCTCCTCTCGTCCTCCTCCGCCTCCTGCCCCTCCTCCTCCTCCTCCTTCCCCTCCTCCCCCTCCACACTCCTCCCC